AAACAAAAGAACGAATCAATCATACATATATATATATCTCTATTTCATACATATATATATCTCTATAAAAAAAAATGAAAATATATATATATATATATATATATAGATAGATAGGGATATGCTAACGCGCGTACGCCTGTTTTTCAGTTGGTATATTTTAGCAATGTGTACCGGATTTTAGTAGACAAAAATACCTCTATATATCATGGATTCTAAGTTTTAAGGTTAAGGGTATTTTAATAATTTTCATTCTCAAAACTAAAAAAAAAAAAAAGCCCCCAAACCCTTAGTCACCTCTCTCATTCCTCTTAATCTTTTTTCTTTCATCTCTCTCACTCCAACTTTTTCTCTGTCATCCCTACTGTACTGTAGCTCCAATTGAAAAAATCAGAAACACTTGCCTTTAAACAATTTGCCTTTGTAAAGAGTTGAGTCATTGACATATTCACCTTCAGGTAAAGGTTCATTCAAGATCTCTTCAATTTCACCATCTTCACTAACCTCTCTAATTTCATCATCTCCATATGTTGAATCATCATCTCTAAAAAAACCCTCCAGGCCAATTACCAATTCTTTTGGATGTCATTATGCTTGTGAAAATTAGATAAAATTATATACGACAAAAATTATAAAATGAAAACTCATTATAAAGTCATTTTTTGTAAGAAATTGTTTAACAACGAGTGTTTCTGAATAAGACAAAAATTATAAAATAAAAACTCATTATAAAATCATTTTTTTGTAATAAATTGTTTAACAACGAGTATTTCTGATTTTTTCCAGGTCAATTACCAATTCCTTTGTGCTTGTGAAAATTGGATAAAATTAGATAAGATGAAAACTCATTATAAAATCATTTTTTTGTAAGATTGTTTAACGGCAAGTGTTTTTGATTTTTTCAATTGGGGCTATAGGGATGACAGAGAAAAGATTGGAGTGAGAAAGATGAAAGAGAAAGGTGAAAGAGAAAGAGTTGAGAGGAATGAGAGAGGTGAGTAAGGGTTTGGTGTTTTCTTTTTTAGTTTTGAGAATGGAAATTATTAAAATACCCTTAACCTTAAAACTTAGAATCCATGATATATAAAGATATTTTTGTCTACTAAAACCCAGTACACATTGCTAAAATGTACCAACTGAAAAACAAGCGTACGCATTAGCAAATCTCATATATATATATATATTATTCAAAGTACATTTTGAAAACATAAAATAATACCTTTTTGAAATAATTACTCAAAAGAAAGAATATCAACTACACACAAACTTATTTAAAGACACAAACTTTTTTTAAGATTTTTTATTCTATTGGATACCTACACAATCAACAATGCTGTGACTCAACAATCTTTTAATAAACAATGTTTAATATTTTAACTATAAATTTTACATATATTATCATATCTCACAAGTTAATCGTGTTTGCATATATGATTTCATGTGTTTCATATAGAACATTCACACTCGTATTTTTTCACTTGACATGAGTACTATAAGTTAAATTCATAAAATATTATATATTTGATAATTATATTTCAATAGTTTAAAGATTAACTATTTTTGAAGACGGTTTGATGTCCCAAAATCTCAAATGAGCATCAATTGCTTAGTAAAACTTAATGTATATTCAAATTGTATTAGGTATGAAACTTAAATTATATAACAAAAAAAATAAATTACAAATAAATTAACAAAAAACTTACATTTCTAATGTATTTTTAATTGTCAAATGGTTAGGCTTCTGGTGTAATGCACATAAAAGAATCCAAGATACTATTGAAGAATGACTATTAACAACGGTTAAATAACCAGAACAAAAGAAATCTTACGATATTTAAAACTATATCACTACAGTGCTTATTTATACTAGGCGGAATATAATTAACATAATAAACCGTTATAAAATATTATTTTTATTTTGTATTTTATTTCATATAGGCAATATAATTACTTATTAAGGAACAACCACATCTCCTTAGATATATTAAGATAGAGAGCACTAGAAAAAACAAAATTTATCTTTTTGTAATCAATTCTTAGATTTTAGAAATTGTTATGTAAATGATATCTTCAATATTATAAAAAATATGTCTAAATTATAATTTATCTTATTATGATGAATTAATTTGAAGTCCACTTAAAGTGTTTAAGATTATTGTAAAGACCTAGAAATAAGATTTTAGAAGTGGTAATTGTTTAAATATAATGAGACTCGACTATTTTAATATTAAATTATTTTAATACAAATAGTTTTGTTACGAATGAGTTTCATAATTTTAAAACACACCATCTCTATAAATAATTTTATAGAATTATTTGACTTTTCTCTAGGAGTTCTCATTTTCTATTCGTTTGATTGAATAACCAAGACCATAGTCCTGACAATGAACTCTTTGATATGGACAAATCAATTTATCCGTTTGAATAAGTTGAGTTTTCAATCCTTTTTCATTGGTCTTTTCTTGTATCTATTGTATGTTGGTTCTGCTCAGATTGCATGTGTCGTTTGAGTTATCAATTTGAGTCCTTGCTTATTAGTGGTTTTAATAGTGTATCCTAATTGTGTTTATATTTATTTGTAGAAACATATAAAACTTATTGTGTGTTTAAAACTTTTTTAAGTTTTGTAGAGCAATTTTATTATTTGTCAGGTAAGGGAAACTAAATATTTATGTTTATGTTTTAGATGTTTTGAGAATATGAAATTCCTGCTTTGTCTAAAATACCAAGTTTTACATTTATACAAAGAGCCAAACATTTTGTTTATCGTCTGATTAAAGATCTATATTTTGACTATCAAAAGTTTTACACCAAAGTCATATTTCACTAAAGATATAGAAACTTTTTCTTCAAATACAATCCATATACCATAGATAACTCCCATAAAATTTGCGCGCGCGCATATATATATATATATATATATATATATATATATATATATTTTTTTTTTTCAAACTCTATAAAGTAGGTAAAACTATCAATATATTTTCTTTTACTACATTTAAAAATATTACCACGGTTAAACTTGGATAGTCTTTTTTTTACACTATAATCAATATTTAATTTGATCCAATATACTTTCAAAAAAGTTCATATCATTAAAATTAACCGAGAAGAAATATAAGATCCAGTGGAAATACCAAAAAATTTTAGCATTTAAAATCAGATATATTATTAAATATAGATTTAGAAAAAGAACCAATTATCCTTACAAATATTTGACCTATATTAGTTTCTCTTATTTCTATATTATAATATAAATAATATAAAAATTTTAAAATAAAATAAAAATAATATAACAAAGTTAAAATAAAATAATATTCTTATAATTATAAAATGGAAGTGGGAAAAAAATGTTAACATGTCACAGTCCAAAAATATTATCGTTCAAAATGAAGAAATATATGATAAATGGGAAAATTTGAATATCCAAAAGTGAGGTGAGCAAAAGTTCAATCCCTTACTTATTGGCCGTGTCCATAGATTGTTGGCAACGTTCCTTGTTGCATGAGTCACTCAGAAGTAAAGTAAGCATATCAGCTCTGCAGTGACAAACACGCGCCTCGTTGGTGCATAGCAAGTGCCAAGTGTTCACTCTCGCGTTCGAATTCGAACTTCCGTTTTCAATTTCTACAACATCGAGTCGAGGACCTTTCGGTACTTTCCCTCTCGCACTCTACCTGTCCCTCTAACCCACTCAACTTCTCTGTCACATCTTTCTGCGCGTAAGAGATAAACAATTCGCGCGCCAAACACGACGGTGCTGCTAACTGCCAGCGGTGTCGTTTCGTTTCAGAGCTTTTCCATTGCTCTCTCTCTCTCTCTCTCTCTGAGTCTGGGAGATGAGGTTAACATCACCTGCCATTCTCAACCTTCTCTTTCTATGTGATCTCCTTCTTTGTCTTCCCACATTTTCTTTCTCTCTCCTCGTCGCTGACGCCAAGTCGGACCCGCAGCTTCTCCTCGCCGGGAAAAACGCAACCTCCGTCGTCAATGCCTCGCTTGGGAGATCCGGCGATGATAGCTTCGCGAACATGATTGATCGGGCTCTCGAAAGAGAGTTCCCCGAGAATGAGCAGAATGAAGGTTCGCAGATCTAGCTTGTCGCACTTTAATTTTTTAATGCTCAAGCGTTTCTAAACATTTTCGTGTAAATGATTTCCGACAACTCGTTGGATCGTGGTTGCCGTATGCCTTTGCAGTGTGAATTATTGAAAATGCCGCTCCATTCGAGTTTCGTTTCACTTCTTCGTATGCGCTTTTCTGCAATTTCCTGATTAGCATTGTGCTGCTGGATTTAACTTGCATTCTCTGTAAAACCTCCCGCAGTAACGTGTGTGCTGCGATTAGAATCCTGTAATTTGCTATATTCTTTTGTTGGCTTTTATGACGAAAAACCAATGAGACGCCGTTAACTTTCAAATGTTTCACATGGATACGTTGTAACGAATGCGTTGAATCATTGACGACATGTGAGTAGTGTAGTGGAAAGTTTAATTCAAATGAATGCTTTCAGTGAACTTCGCCGAGTCTTTTGCAGGTACCGATCCTGGTGGTTTCAACAACAGTGTTGCTGAACAGCAGGTGTGCAGTGAATTGCTTTACATAATATATTTAATTGCCTCTAAATTTTTGCAAGCCTGGGGAGCAATTGAATGTAGCACTCTAGGGACCTAATTCAGGTAGTTTAGGTGTCTTGTTTTAGGCTAGACTTCAATCTGGTCAGGACTTAACAGTGTAGTAGGGAAACAGTTCATTCTATACAAACTGGCGTTCTTGTGTGTTTGGATTTTGGCCAGAAAGGCTCAAACTATCACATGCTTTTACGTTGAGCTGCAATTGACACGTGTGCAAAATATAAATCAAACTCCCACTTAATACTCATGCTTCTATGTTTTCTCCTTTGGAAAATGTGAAAGTCTGTTTTGGAGACTCCAAACGAGAATTCAAACACTTCATAATATGTTTGTATACATGTTATATCCATGTTGCACTCGTTCCAAAGCACTGTTATGCGAGAAGCATCAATTTCTAGCTGAGTATTAATGAGTCCCAAACTGAAAAACTAACGTAATAAGTCAGTGGATGATAATTCATTAGAAAAGCATTAAACTGATTCAATCTCAGAAGTTACAATAGATAATAACTTGTTCATAATTTACTTATGACTTGTCAAATTTTGTTTTAGATTCTCTGGGATAATGAATTTTAGGGTGGGAACCTCTGTCTAGGTCAATCCTTTTTTGATAAATATCACTTGTGATACGGGATTTTATGTATGTGGCATATTATTTTCACTTGAAAAGATCGTGATCTAAGGTCCTTCTCATAATTTTTTTAATGTATCAGGCTGTCTTGGAAACTGTTGCCAGAGTTATGCCCAAGAAAAATGAAAGCAAAGAAGAAAAGTATGCACCTCTTTCTTGTAAAAGTCAAATATTTTTTCTGAAAAAGGGTACCGAGTTTTAAAAATTTAATGCAAAGGCCTTTACTATGAACCATGACATTTGTTAAGTTTTTTATCAGGCCATTTCAGTTCCACGATGTTTTCAACTTAGACAATGAGAATAGAGCAGACGATATGCCAACTTTAATTGATCGGAAGGTATGTCTATTCAAGCGGTTGAAGTTTTTCAAACATTGAAATAATTTCTGTAACAGCACATCATTACAATATGCATGAAAAACTCAATTCTACCAATCTTGTCAGAAGTTGATTTAATTTTTTGTAATTTTCCAATTGTTTCAACTACAGGACAATGTCTTTATCATATCCAATCCTAAGTCAAAGTATCCAGTTCTCCAATTAGACTTGAGGTTTAATTACTGTTCGTATTTTTTCTCTCTTTTTCTAATAACATTATATATATGAGTGCTTGCAACTACTAACTAGTTAGGTTGCTTATCCTTTTTATGCCATATTTTCAGATTGATATCAGATCTTGTGGTTGTCATTGTGTCTGCAACCTGTGGCGGCATTGCCTTTGCTTCTGCTGGACAACCAGTTTGATTACAAACCTTGCTTTATGGTTTTCAGTACATATTTCTATGACATATCTCCAAAAAGTAATCCATACATACAAATTTGCAGGTGATGACTGGATATCTGCTAGCAGGATCAATCATTGGACCAGGAGGTTTGAGTTTTGTTAGTGAAATGGTCCAAGTATGTATCCTTTATAGTTCTTTTGTCATGTACACTAATATCCCCCTCCCTTCTTTTAGCTAGCCACATTTTTTACAAAAATAAAATCATTGATTGAATGCAATCACGATGTGTGATGGATACTCTCTTTCTACAAGACATATTGAAATGAAGTGATGATCGAATGTCATCTATTTTTTCTGCTAGTGATCTTGCATATTGCTTCCACTCCTTGCAGGTTGAGACAGTTGCTCAATTTGGTGTCATCTTTTTGCTCTTTGCATTGGGCTTAGAGTTTTCAGCAACGAAGGTTGGCTTGTACACTCATTATTTCTTTTAGCTTGAACTTGTAAACTTTTATCTCAGCCATACTTACCATATATATATATATATATATATATATATATATATATATATATATATTTCTTTTCATGTTTGCAGCTTCGAGTTGTTCGAGCGGTGGCTATCCTTGGAGGCCTACTCCAAATTTTCTTATTTATGTGCTTGTGTGGAATAACAGCTTCAGTATGCATTTTACTTTTAGAAATATTAATTACAAAAAACGTTTCCACTTTGATGTAAATAAATTCCTCATAAATGCACCTAAATCCTGCCTGCAGTTATGTGGTGGTAAATCATCTGAAGGAATATTTGTAGGTGCATTTCTATCCATGTCTTCAACAGCTGTGGTAATTTCCTGACCTCACTGTAACGTGATTTTTGGTATCCCTTTTCAATATTATACCATCTCAAGTATGATTGCAACTTTGTTGGACAATAAACTTGTTATGTTGTTTAATATTTAACCATAGGCGTATAGTGTTTAAGTAACCTAAGGCTGTACTTCTATAATTGCAACAAACTATTGCAATCATTTCTTGGTTGCTATTTGGTTAGATTTGATGGTGTTCATATTTCTATATTCTACACAGCTGTCAGTTTTTCAGCTAAGTGTTAATTATTGGTGGACAATAGCAAATATGAGGAATAAAGGCTTTCTTTTTGGAAGATGGTGGTCCTTAGGGGAAAAAGTGTTACAATAGCTTCAGTATCAGATTAAATCCAGCAAAAACTTTAAGGACAAAATAGTTGCCTTTAGTGGAGCAGAATAGATTATTTGATCATATGATAGTCATATCTCATAGACAGTGCCATAAGAGCTAGAGAAAAATTAATTAATGAATTGATAAAAGCTTTTTAATTGTTTGGTGAATTTGGGATGTATATGTTCATTGGGATTGTTAAGTTGGAGAGGATTGCTTGCATTTCCAACTGTCCTTTTACCCTTATGTGTGGTATGCTATCATGTTTGGGGCTCCTATATCATGCTTTTTTTGATTAATGATATGAATAGATTAATTGTTGCATCGTCTCTGTGGCTGTTTTTTTCCTTTGTATTATGAGAATCTCTTGGTTGTATTGTCTTTCTTTTGCCTATAGTAGGATTTATTGCATCAAGAAAAGAATGAAGATCATTGGTAGAATGTTATGAAGGAAACAGTTCTATCTAGTGTTTGATTGAGGGGAAATTCTTATTTGAGGGTAAATTCTTATTTGAGGGGAAATTCTTATGCAATACTCTAGTTGTTGTATTGAGTAGTTGAGCGGATTTTTCTTGATGAAAAAACTAAAAGGCTAAGCTCTTGCTATGATCACTTCTTTTCTAGATGTTAGCAAACTTCTTTGGTGTCACATCTATACAAAGCATTAACTTCAAATATATTATTTCCTCAGCTGAGAACAAGGAAGATTCGTATGTACTGCTTGAGTGTTTCAAAAAACACCGAGCAGAATATCATATATCCACAATCTGTTGTTATTTACACTGATATAGGGAAAAAAAGTACAACCTAAGGTTACCGATTTAGGATTATACGTACTAATGCTGGTAGAAGTAGTAGGTAACAGAAAAAGCTTTTCTGGCATATGGAAAGCAGATTTTCTAACATTGTTATTTGTTATTTACTTTAAATTTGTTTTTTTTTTTTCCTTCTTTGATCCCCAGGTCTTGAAATTCTTAATGGAAAGGAATAGCGTCAATGCCCTTCATGGTCAGGTTACAATTGGAACTCTGATACTGCAGGTATGTACTGTTATTTTTGTGTTAATGAATGCACATGAATGACTGAAACATTGCTACTGCTACTTGTGCAAAAAGAGTGGAGAAGCTATGAATGACCCTGATATTCCTTGTTAAGATTTTTCTTCTCACATTTGTCGTCTTGTGAAATGTTTGAAATTGTTGGTTCTTTTCAGGATTGTGCCGTTGGTTTGCTCTTTGCACTGCTTCCTGTTTTGGGTGGAACATCAGGTGTTCTTCAAGGAGTAGTATCCATGGCTAAGTCGTAAGTTAATTGTAGGATGAATTGTTCCTCATTTATCTTCTCTCTCCATAGTTTATGAAATCTATGATAAATGATATTAAACCCCAAGGTTCTCCAAGCAGCAACATATATTTTGTGATCCATTAAGGATATTCTGCTCATAGTTTTGATTCTTTTCTTGTTACGAGAGTTAAAGATGAAGATGCAAGTGAATTAAGAAATTTTGGTGTGCGAGACCAGTCGGCCACTTCTTACCAGTATTGATCATGATACGTTAACATAAAGTTCTTGTTACGTGCCTGACCACGTAACTTGCCTTCACACAGTGAACGGAACAATACTCAAGTGAATAAAAACTCTTTATTATTGAAACTCTGGAAATAACGAACACAACCAATGACTGGGAGCAGGTTCTCCTTCAGTCACACGAGAGCATAACCTCTCTTACAATATTCCAATAATCAAAAACATACCCTGACCCTAGGTGCCTCTCCTAATTAATACTAATTACTCCTTCCAGAAATGGTAAGGAATAATCACAATTGCCAATTTATTATAATTAAACTTAATTGCCTAATTAATATAATTATCTGGAAAGAATAAATCTGTCCTTATTAACTCTATTTATTACTGCCTTAATTACAAAAATACGCTGCCTATCCTTCCGCTAGCCAGCTATTTATTATGGATTTATGGACGCTCGTTCCTCGTTTAGACGCTCGTCCTCTGCCCATCGTAGGGACGCTCGTCCTCTCCGTCCCTGTTAGGACGTCGTCCATGTTCTGCTCGTCCTCGCTCGTCCTCGCCCCTTGCTCCGAACGTTCGCCATGTTAGGACGTTCGACCTTCGCCCACCATCTCCCTCCTGTATTCTTCCTCTCATAAAACATCTCGCCAGGCCCTACACAAATTACCCACCACCCTGAAGCTCACCTTGTCCCCAGGTTAAGTCAGGATATTGGTCTTGATGGTAGGCATCTTCCCATGTAGCCTCGTCAGGTCCTCCCTCTTGCCATTCGACCAAGACTTCCTGTCGTGCGTCCGTCCCCTGGTGCACTTGCCGGTTGTCCAACACTCTAACCGGTCGTGGAGACGGTTCTTCCACCTCCAGATCTTGGGGTAACTCTGACTCGACCTGGTGGTCCCCTGCTGCCTTCTTTAATTGTGCACAATGGAACACGGGATGTATTCGGGCGGTCTCTGGTAATGCAGCTTAAATGCGACTGCTCCTACCTGCTGATAACAAGGAAGGGACCAAAATAGCGAGCGGCCCCAACTTGAACTGCACCAGTGGACGACATCGTCGTTTGACGTGAGGTCCTAATCTTCAGATAGACCCAATCCTCCCACTCTATTGGGTACTGTCTTCTGCCATTATCTGCCTAGCCTTACCATTAATTCCTGTGCCCTGTGCTAGATTGAACTTTAGTGTCGGAGGGCTTCGCTCTGGTCTTAATTCCTGACTGCGGACTCCACTAAAGTTTCTCCCTGGGACGAACTATGCAGGGAAGGTGGCGGTCGCCGTAGACCAGTTTCAAAATGGCGTGCATTTGGCTGATTTCCTGATAGCTGTGTTGTACCAATATTCCGCCCATGGAATCACAGCGCTCCAGCCCTTGGGCCTCTCATAACAAAAATCATTCTCAGATACCCTTCCGACCCTGTTGAGGACCTCCGTCTGTCCATCCTCTCCGGGTGATAGGCCGTGCTCACTTCAGTCGCGTCTTGTAACTTGAACACTCCTTCCAAAATTACTTAAGAACAGGTGATCCGGTCACTTACGATCGAGAGTGGTACGCCATGTAGCGGACAAACTTCCTTTCACGAAGATTTCGGCTATGGTGCGAGCGGAATATGGTGTGTTTAGGGGGTATAAGTGACCTTATTTGCTGAGTCGATCCACCACACCTAATACAAGCATCATATCCTCTAGACTTGGGTAGTTTGACAATAAGTCCATACTTATCTCCCCCAAATGGCTTGGGAATGGGTATACGGCTGCGCAGTCCTTGCGTGAGATGAGGTTTAGATATTTTGGCTGTTGAACAGACTAGACAGTGGGCCACGAATTCGGTCACTGCTTCTTTCATTCATTCCCACCCAATAAAGTGTTTTGCACCTTGCGTACGTCCGGTAACCCCTGATGGCCCTGTGTGTGTGGAATTGAAAGTCGCGCTATCAGCTTGGGCACCAGGCCGAGAAGCGCTGACAGCAACGAGCCTCCCTTTATAGTGCAGGCGCTCGTTCTCCAGCGTGAACGAGGGGTGTGGAGTTGGGTCTTTCTTTAAGTCCTCAATCACCTCCGTAGCTCCTCACCGCCTCGACATTCCTCCAAAATCTCTCTCAAATCTCTCTGAACTCAATATGGCCGACCCCCAACGCAAGACCCCCGTCAACCCTTCTCGTCTCGCGGTCATCTGCATCCTTGCGGATGGCGTCGCCACCTTGTTGGTCACCGGATTGTACCGATCTCAAGAGTCGTATCCCAGGACTTGCCCCACATTCTGCTGATTTTGAGTGGTGATGCGTTGCCTCCAATAGATACTTCAAACTTCTCCTGATCCGTGTGAACCACAAACCTTGCCCCACCATAGGTACTGGCCTCCAATGTTTGTAGGCCAAACCAGGCCCATAGTTCCCTTCTGCTAGATTGATTCCTAACGTTCCCTTCCGATACGCGCTTTGCTAAAGAAGCTATGGGCTGCTTCCCTTGCACTGAGGACCTCCTATCCCGCTTCGGATGCGTCACATCAATGTGGAATGCGGATTAAAATCCGGCAATGATCAATACAGGTGTCTGTCGTTATGCTTTCTTCAACTTAAGCATGGCTCCTCTGCTTGTTCCCCCCCACCCCCCCCCCCCCCCCCCCCCCCCCACCCCCCCCCCCCCCCCCCCCACCCCCCCCCCCCCCCCCCCCACCCCCCGCCCCCCACCCCCCCCCCCCCCCCCCCTCCCCCCCCCCCCCCCCCCCACCCCCCCCCCCCCGCCCCCCACCCCCCACCCCCCCCCCCACCCGCAGGGAACTGTCCTTTCTTGAGGAGGTCGGTAGAAGGCGGCATCTTCCATAGTCCTTTACGAACCTCCTGTAGACCTGTCAGCCCTAGGAAACCCCTCAAAGCCTTTATGTCTTCGGTTTCTCCACACTCCATCACTGCCCGCACCTTGTCCTCGTCCATCTCTACCCCTTTCTCTGATACCGATGGCCCAAAACCCTATTTGAGTTCTGCGAGCGCACTCTTCCGGTTGGCCACCCATCTATGTCCACCAATTCCCTTAGCACCGTCGGCCACCATGTTCCAGTGCTCGTCCCAGGGCGGCTATACACCAGTATATCTCAAAGATACCAGTACGAACTTCCGCAATTAAGGCGTAACAGTTGGTTCATAGGCACTCTGAAAAGTGGCGTGGCGCGTTGGTTACGGCCGAACACATTACCATGAATTCGGTGTGGCCCTGGTCGTCCGGAAAGCCGTCTTCTCTATGTCCCACCAGCTCACCATCGTATTTGATGATAGCCTGATTTATAATCCACTTCGAGAAGTACTTGGCTCCCGCAGTTCTGTCCACACAACTCCTCTATCAAGGAATGGGAATTTGTCAGGCACGGTGGCTCGGTTTAGGGCCTGTAGTCCACACACAAAACCGCCAGCTGCCATCTTTTTTTTTCACCAAATTACAGGCCTTTGAAATACGGGGCTGGTGCTTGATCTTATGACGCCTGCCGTCCAGCATTTCCGCCACTTGTCTCAATCCTCCTCCTTCATTTACATGGGTACCTGTACGGCCTTACATTTACGGGGTCCTGTACCTTCCTTCAAGGAATTCGATGAACCATTCCTCTATCGCGGAAGTCCCTCCGTCCTGAAACACTTCAGCGTTCCTCCAGTATTCGCTGCATGTTCGAGCGTTGCTCCGAGTCGTTCTGGACCGACGTCTCTTTTTTCTTCCGGAACGTACGTGTTTGGGTTCTTCTCCTTCACTCTCTGGCCTCTCCTAGCTCCCACAACTATATACCAGACCTCGACTTCCGTCATTTAGCAAAGCTACGGTTCCACCAAACCTCCTAGTTAGACGTTGGGATCTCCCTTATAATCCACCCCTTTCCCTGCTGTATACGCCATGGTTAGCTGCCTCCAGTTTATGACTACTCGCCCAGCTTAGCCAACCATTCGAACCCCCAGAATCACATCCACTCCGCCTAATTCGAACAGTGAAAACGTTCGTTGATCACTATCTCCCCTCACCTGGATCGTTACTGACTCACCAACAGCCTCGCGTCTCCTTCCTCCGTCCATCCCCAAGCTCACCCGTAGGGTGGTGTATCCACTACGGGTAAGGATAGTTCTTCCACCAACTCCCTGCTTATGAAGTTGTGGCTGGCGGCCACTGTCCAACAGGATCAGCACCTGATGCTCCCTATTTGGCCGTGCAGTTCATCGGTTTGGGCTGGTGAGCCCTCCGCTGAGAAGCAGACCGCTCCAGTTGTTCGATTCTACCTCCACCTCTTCTTCCCCTCCTGGCTCCTCTTCTTCGGCCATGATCAGCGTCCGATCCCTTCTGGACAGCGGGGCCTGGACCGTACGGTCTCCGCATCGGAACCACTTCCCCTCCTCCCTTCGCTGACGTACTCTGCGTACGGTAAATCCGTACGTTCCTGCCCTTGCTCGTTGGAGAACGTACGCTCATGCCCCTCTCCTGGGGCCTCCTCGGCGTTCGTCCGGTTCTGTCGGTGTGTGCGGCTAGGGTCCACCCTTGCCACGTACCCTCTCGTCTTTCTCCCACCTGCCCCTTGTTTGGCTGATTTCCTCCCACCACCCGCGTCCCTGCTTGGAACGCCTCTACGTCCCTGGCTATCTCATGACTCCATGAAGTCCTTTGGTCTAGCAACCTGAAGTTGGTTAGAACCCCTCTTGTATGCCGGCCATGAATACCCCATTAATTGTGCCTCGGGCATTGTTCTGCTTGACTCCCAATACCTTCGAATTCCTGGATGTAGTCTCCCACGGAACCCGACTGTCTGACAGTGCTGCCAGTCTCTCAAAGACCGTTCCTGTGTTTCGGCCTCCAAACCGCAACCACAATGCCTCCTTTAACCCGGCCCATGACCGGTTTTTCGGGCTTTCTCCCTCCAAAACCTGAACCAGTGTCCTGCTATTCCCTCCATGCTTGATATAACGCCAGACCGCAACTTCTCGTCCTCCGAGCACAACCCTTGGAGTTCGAAGAATTTGTCCGCCCTATAAACCAGTCATAGGTTTTCGCTGCCTCCGAACTACGCGCAATCAACCACTTCTTCCCCAATAAGGTTGCCTTCTGTCTCGGTGTCCCCCTCCTAACTCTCTCCAGCTCCTCTCATTCACTCGTATTCCTTCTTCCTTTACTGGACCCGGCTACTATCCAGGCGTCCCCTTCCCGTCGACCTCGCTCCGCCTATATCCTTACTAGTTCCTGGACTGCGAGCCAGCCGCCCATGGAGATTTCTAGGGTCTCCGATCCTCCGTCCAATGCATCATTTTCTCTCCATTACGCTCTCCACCCTCAATAAGATCCGGCACGGTCGAGACCCAATTTGTTACGTCCTGACCACGTAACTTGCGTGAACGGAACAATACTCAAGTGAATAAAAACTCTTTATTATTGAAACTCTGGAAATAACGAACACAACCAATGACTGGGAGCAGGTTCTCCTTCAGTCACACGAGAGCATAACCTCTCTTACAATATTCCAATAATCAAAAACATACCCTGACCCTAGGTGCCTCTCCTAATTAATACTAATTACTCCTTCCAGAAATGGTAAGGAATAATCACAATTGCCAATTTATTATAATTAAACTTAATTGCCTAATTAATATAATTATCTGGAAAGAATAAATCTGTCCTTATTAACTCTATTTATTACTGCCTTAATTACAAAAATACGCTGCCTATCCTTCCGCTAGCCAGCTATTTATTATGGACGCTCGTTCCTGTTAGGACGCTCGTCCTCGCCCATCGTAGGGACGCTCGTCCTCTCGTCCCTGTTAGGACGTTCGTCCATGTTCTGCTCGTCCTCGCTCGTCCTCGCCCCTTGCTCCGAACGTTCGTCCATGTTAGGACGTTCGACCTCGCCCACCATCTCCCTCCTGTATTTCTTCCTCTCATACACTCGCCAGGCCCTAACAGTTCTACTACACTTATTGAATGTCTCAACATGTAAAATTTATAAAGAGAAACACGGTGGTGCATAAATTTTAATCTCACTATTGTCTACTATGATAAAGTTATTTTAAAAATCTTTTGTAAAAAAAATAATTATAATTATAATAAGAGGCTACAAGAAAGGAGTTCATATAAAATAGTACACAAAATTCTACCCTACCAAAGGCAAAACAACAAAATAGAAAGAAGAAAACAAACTCATGAATAGAATAAAGCTTTTTGTTCATCTTGCATTCTTGAGATGAAGACTTCTTTGGTGATACCATGAGATGAGGACCAGATGAATGTCATAAAAAATCTTATTTCTATTCCATAAACAATCTAAATTAAAATAAAAGACTTACAAGTACAAGTATTATTGTTGCATAATTATATAACATATACTCCATTTCCTTGTTGAATTTCATAAGATAGTTAACTTCACTTGATGTGCTGATGATATTATCTTTTTTTTTCAGTCATTTATTCCTACTGGTTTACTAATTCTGTTATTTCAGATTGGTGACCTTAATTGCATTTTTGGCCATTTTGACAATGTTATCTCGTACTTGTGTACCATGGTTCCTTAAGCTAATGATAAGTTTATCCTCTCAGGTGAAGATAGATCTTTTTCTCTGTTTTAAATGTTTGTTTGTGCATTAGATTTTAACTATTTTTTTTTTCTGTGCAGACGAATGAACTTTATCAATTGGCATCAGTGGCTTTCTGCCTACTTGTTGCTTGGGTGTGTCTTCTATCAAATCTCAATCTTTCATTACTTGCCAAACCTTGTCATCTTAGTTGTCTGTTTTATCTTCTATAATGTATAAGGCCCTTAATCTTGGACGAGTCTGTGGTTGTTTTCTATTGACGAGTAATATTCACCAAACTTTATTTTCCTAAATCCAAGGGTTTGCTTAAATGCATGTATGCCTACCAATTATCTCAGTTGGCAGAGTTGTTGTAAACTCCCTAGTACCTATGTTCACTTCCTTTGAATAAAGATAATATATGCATGTCTGACTTATTTATACATAACATTTACAATGTCCGAACAACATGTGTGCCTTCAACAAAATGTTTTAATATTTGTTGTTTCATTTCAGTGTAGTGATAAGCTGGGTTTAAGTCTTGAACTAGGTTCCTTTGCTGCGGGAGTGATGATATCAACAACAGATCTTGGTCAGCATACACTTGAACAAGTAAGAAATAATTCTAGGGTCTGTTCTTTGTAGTGACTAGTTTTACTATGTTCTTGGATGTAAACTTGTGTTTTGAGGAGTATCATTTGCTCAGTATTTATTATGTTCTTTTTTTTTTTCTTGGGTACATGTTAAGCATGTTTAGTGGAATGAGGATGCTTTTATATTATGCTTGATACAACTTTGTATTTTCATCATGGATTCATGTAAGGTGGTGGCACCCAAATGAATTTTAGGAAACCTTCTTGAAGCACTAGCATATATATTTTGAGATGACTCATGTTTTGCTATAGTTTTGAGCTTACTCAAGGTTGTTGATATATAGGTTGAGCCAATTCGCAATTTTTTTGCTGCTCTGTTCTTGGCCAGCATTGGGATGCTTATACATGTCCATTTCCTTTGGAATCATGTTGACATGTTACTGGCAGCTGTTATATTGGTGATCATTATAAAAACAATTGTAGCTGCATCTGTTGTTAAGGGGTTTGGATACAGCAACAAGACTTCACTTCTTGTAAGATTTGTCATCAATTAATACAATTACGTCTGTCTGTTGATTGCATCATACATTTCATTGACGGAAGAGCCTTAGGTTATTCCACATGCGTAGGTTGGGATGTCCCTGGCACAAATTGGGGAATTTGCCTTTGTTCTTCTCAGCCGTGCTTCAAATCTTCATTTAGTTGAGGTATGTACTTCATTTCAAGACAATCATTTCAGCTACTTTGTTTCTATGAAGACTGCAATTTATCTTTCTGCATTGTAGGAAGCAATTTATAAATAAAGGAAATATGTTTTATTTTAAAAAAAAAAAATCAGTTTTCTGGCAGTGCTTATTATCATTTGAAATGTGAATGTAATTGCATTGTTTCTGCAGTTAATTTAAATATATGGACTGAATGTCTGATTCCTACTGCAGGGAAAGTTGTATCTATTGCTCCTGGGAACAACAGCTCTTAGTTTGGTACGCATGCACTATTTTATAGAATAACAATGTTGCTCCCACTGGTCCTTTTTATATCTAGTAAACTAGTAATTATCGATCACACAACAATGTTGAAATACTGGTCTTTTAACAATCTTGGTGTGGTTACTTTATGGATTCGAACAAGCATTTACTAAACATCACTAGAGTTTTGTTTTATCATATGATAAATTCATGGTCTTAATACACACAGGATAGGGATTAGGTATCTATATCCATTATGATTCGGTTGCAAGTTGCTCCTACTTTGGCAAAGTATTGTTTCAAGGCCCCCACCCGTAAACCGCGTTGTTTTTTTGGTAGATAAATTCTGTTTGTTGATCATCTTTATTTTAACTAAGCAAGGGATTACTAGTAAATGTGATTGAAGTTTAAGAAGTTATCACTAGTAAAAACATTGGACCTTCCTACGCAAAATTATTGTGCCAGTTTTGAATGCTATAGCCAGTTTTATGTGTAATCCTTGTATGTTTTTAGTATTATGTTCACAACTCTTTGAGGAGATTTTGAAGCTTACACAAACAGAAATAGTGCAGGTGACTACACCTTTACTCTTCAAGCTAATTCCTGCAGTTGTGCATCTTGGGGCATTGTTACGGTGGTTCCCTCCTGATAGTTCAACTGAGGTATTTTATAGCTTTAATAATTGACAAATGATATAAAAATTTATAAGTTTTTGTTGCTTCAATTTCTAAAAGATTCTGACTTTTGAATGATTTTACTCTCAGATTGCATTTAAAGGGGACAGCTTTCGTGTAGACAGTGCTAAGCGTATTACTTTGATGGTTCAAGGCTCTCATGATTCATGATATTCACATTTACTATGAAGAAGAAATGAAATTTGCGGGCTTTAATTGACGGCTTCTCAATACTACGGGAGGACAAGTGCTAAAAACAAAACAAATAAGGTTTACTAAATGAAAGAGTTTTCCATTGCAAAATACTTTATATACTCTCTGCTTTCAGAACACGCACTGGAATAGTAAGAGTAAATGGCGAAAGTATGCCAAGGGAGCCAGGAGTTTCAACCGGATACAGCAACTAACCTAGTAACTGGGGCCATGTTATTAACTTGAATGGCCTGTTGTGTATAAAGTAATATGTAGTTGCAGTTAGTGTATTTCATTTTAGATACAATCCTCTTGATTTTTTTTTCCCTTACTTTTTCCCTTTATTTTATTCAAATTTTTTTGGGTTGATTAAGTTTGGAATGTGTAATTTTCCCTGTACAAGTTTTAGACTTAAGGCAGTCATCAAAGTCAAATGTACCATGTTCATAACTTTTGAAATTATAATGGAAGATAATTTGATTTGCCATTCATTTCTTGTAATTCTTTACTAAATACGTGAAATCTGTCGTTTGTGGGAAACAAGCTTCACCGGTTACTGAGTAACCTGAAATATCTGTCCGTCATCACCGCCCAAGAAACCGCTGGTTTTCTTGAGTCAACGTATATAAACTAGCAACTGTTTGAAGTTTCCAATTGCAAACAGTCGTTGGATGGTGTTTGTCTATACTATCTAGAAAAAAGCTCAATTTTTTAAAAAAAGAAAATATAACAGAAGAGGGGATTAGTGATGGTATAAAAAATTAGGAGTGTATATAAGTATTACTTTTCCGCACTTAAATTTTAGTAAGTGGCTTTTGGTTCCGTAGACTGAAGCTAGCATATCTTATGCTCGCATTTTTATTTTGGAAATCATTAATGTCTCTGTTACTTGATTGTTTTAGAAGCTATTTCTATTGAGTAATTATTTTGTTATCGATGAATAATTTTTATAAGAAAATTGGTTAAGAATTTCTCTTTGTACCGAAGTTTAGAATTTTTCTTTAAAGTTCTATGCAATGTTAATTAAAAAGTTTTCCTTCATTCATGATATACAGTATTACTTTGAAAATAGTCGCTGGAACAAAATATGAAATACATAATGGTTTCTAATTATAAAAATTCCTTACACCCTCAGTAATGTATGTATATTTTCTGTTATTTTTAATCCGGCTCAATAAGACACAAGTAAATATGATAAAATAAGTGGATATGTGGTGTATATAGGACTAGATGTTTGGGTTCTCTGTCTATAGAAATGCATTTATCTCCAGTACGTGGTGATAAACCCACAGAGGGACAATCATAGCATGGGTAACCAACCAGCCATTCATTATATGTACCTGATTCAAATTTTACAGACATGACAAAACGCATTGCAGGAACTTTAACAAAGCCAGAAGGGGTTTGGTTTGATGTTTTTGGCATCTGATGCATTTTATTTAAATCGCTTGTTCATCATTTAAGCACAAGCATGTGCTGTCATATCATCGGTCTAAGAATGAATGGTGGCAAGCCCAGTGACGTTGGTCTCTTCCAAATCCAATCACTATTCAGCAGGTTACTTCTTCCACATTTTTGTTCATTCACAATTCAACATCAACCAAAAGGGAATCGTCAGTGGTCCCCTTCATTTATTTCCATATTTTAACAAAATCATGAACCATAAGATCCCTCCCATTGGCCCAAAATATTCTACCTTCTTTCACTATAACAAATCCTTACAATGCATTTTCTTTTTAATATCTTCATATTTCAACTAGATACCCACGTTTAATTCTTACACAGATCATCAATTTTACTTCATAAATTCAAATAATTTCTCGTTTATGAGCTGTGATTAACCCAGTTTTTATTTGCATTTTACTTTTTATGCTATAGGTGATATTTTGTGACGTTCGTGGAATCTAACTTAATGGTATGTGGTAACTAGCTAGGCCATGAGTGGCATGATTGCATATTCAAAATGACATTGACAGAAGGAGGAACAAGGTAGGCGTCTATGGAGAGAACACGGCAGCATTTATTTTTCCCCAAGGAAAAAGGTGGTCCTTCAATGATATTCCTTTATCCATGTCATGCTTATGAATGTTGAACATAATTCCACAACCATGTTTTTCTTACGGAGCTTATCTTACTTTTCCTTTGTACCCATTACCATAATTTTATTAATTTAAACACTGATTTTACATTTTAGTAAGTTTGTTTTCTTTTGTTACTATCAATATGTACAAATTTAAAAATGCATATTGAAAATCTCATACAAACTTATGACTTTTTTTGGTAGGGTCATCCTTTTCATGATAAACTTCATATAATGCAACAATTTCACCCAAATACTTATCTACCTACTTAAAGAAACATTATTGATTAAATAATTTATTGTATTTTCTTTACAATTGCATTATTTTGTAAAGTTAGTTAGTTATGTTGTGGAGTTAGTTAAACTAGTTATAGATTTGTTTATTTTCTACTTTCTATTCTCACGTTACTGAAAGTTCATTTTCTTCCTATTAATTTTACATTTTCTTTTCTTTTCCTTTGATAATTTTCTAGGTACAGCCATAAACAACAACACTTTCCTTATTTGTGTCACTTGATCCTTATGTTTTAGAATAATTAATCTTCATCACATACACTGTAAACATATCATTACCATTAAATTTAAGTGAAATAACTTTAATGACATGTATTATATATTATGATTAAAAAAAAGTTAAATGTGTTTTTAGTCGTTTAATTTAAACGAAAAAAATATAATTCATCCATATTTTAAATTTTAATATATTTATATTTTTTCGGACAATTTAAATATAAGATGCATTTTGAAACAAATAAATAATTTTTATTTAAAATTTTAATATACAAAATTATCAGAATAATTTTATAAAATTTAATAATTCGCTTGGTTAAAATCCATTCCACACACACAATTAATTACTAAAGTAAATGCTAAGCATCCTATCTATGTAATGGCTAAGAAAATCAAAGTAAAAAACAAAAAAGCATTTATTAAAAAACATTTGCTGTTTAAAAAATTATATAGGCGCAGACCTAAAAGTTCAAGAATTCAAGATTCAAGAAGCGCGTTAACAACTCCAATAACACTTTCATACGAACTTCACCACAATTACGCCATTCAACATGAAGCCTTCTCTCACTTAACCTCTACAATCAAATTATTCATGACGCCAGTTTCTCAATTTTTTTTCTACTGATATTCTCGTTATTTATCAATATATATATTATTGAATTGTATTATACTCTAAGTCAATTAGATAATTTTGTGTCACAATATTTCCTTTGTTATAATTTATAAATAAATTTAGAGTACAGACAGATGAAAAACCTAGGTTGTATTAATATTCTTGGTAAGTAGTTTTACTTTCAAAGTTCAAGCTAATAATACTATCTGAGAAATTGAAGGGAAAAAGTGCTTCCACAGAATTTAATGTTAAGAAACACGATGGCATCTAATGAATTCTTTGACGCAACACCTCGTGAATGGATCTTACAAAAAAAGCAGAAATTAATATCAGCTTTGAGGACAGAAAGAAAGTCCCAGAAGGGTTTGTTTGGCATATATTATCTGCAGAATCTTGTGGACGCGCTTTTATTTCCCTTATTTCCTTATCCTCACATCTATAATCAACACGAGTATACATATATATGATGATATTCTTCACTTTCTACACACGGAATAATATACATTCTACCATCAAGGATATTAAGATTAAAAAATTAATTAAACAAACAGTCCAACATCTAATCTTTGATTGTTTACACTTTCCTATCAGAGTATAAAACGAAGAAAAAACATATCTGGTTGACAATAACATCAAAACGAGAAAGTCAGGCTATGTTTGTTAGAAAGGTTAATGACAGTCATGTCATGTATATCAGATAAGCGAGTGAAAAAACATGAAATTAAGAATCTGTAAAAAGTAATGGAAATAAAAGGAGATGGAGAATTTGGCTGATTTAGGAGTGTTGTTGATTTGTTTTGGTTAATTTATGGTGGAGAAGGGTGGTAGCAGTGAAGACAAAAATGTCTGTGTTGATGTGGGGGGCCATATGGTTTGTTCTGAAAAGCATGAGTCTTTTTCTGCACATCGACATCATTTTGAATGTGAATTGTGATGTGAGAGGAAGCATATGGTATATGGTGCCAATGCTGGTATCTTGGGGTATATATAGATAATGTGCATGAAAGGGATTGCCCTTCTGCTCACTTCCAAACATGTTAATTGCTCATCACATCACAAAAGAAAGTTGTTACACATTAATTGTACTCAGAATGATACACACGAAGTTGCTAGAAGAAAAAGGCTTCACCAACTTGTAAGTAAAACTTTATGAATACGTACGAATTCTTCATCAGATCTTAACCACTTTTTGCTACTGATTTTGTTATATTATGAAAAATTAAGATGATCTGACTGGAGTCACCGAAATTTCTCTTGCAATGTGCAGCAGTTAAAGACTCTAAAACTTTGACAGTGTAGAAGAAATCTGAAATATTTACAGAATGGGTGTGATCTGTTGTCAAATGTCAAACACTGAAAACTACTGATTTACAACTTAGTCTTCAACTTGCAGTGCAATGCACGTTCTACTTTTCTTCTGTTTATGGACATAAAAATGGTTAAGTTCTTTGACATTATTAAAGCCAATAGTAATAACTATTGAATTTCCAATAATTTCTTCTTCCAGAAACCAAATTTGCCTTATCAAAACCTTTGCATATGCATAATTTATATATGCACATTGTCTGACGAGATAAGCAATTGATAAATAATATCACGATAACTTTGTTTAGATCCGATTTCGATAAAAGTGTAAAAAAAGTTGAATCAAATTCTTCGGGGGATAATTAGTTTGGTTTCATCAAAAAAATTAATTGATCCGTGTGAATTTGACTGAAAAGCTGTTTTAAGGATATCTTGTAAAAACACCGATGCTATATTAAAAAAAAAACAAATCCGTATTTTTTTTATCTAAATTTTGAATTTTCTGTATGTTCAAGATAAAATATGAATTACACGTCAAATGTCATTAATGAGCAAAAGAGAATATTTATTTAAGAATAAGAATATCTTGTTTGCCGTGCTTTTAACTGATGTTAACATGAGTGAAGATGATGAGTTTTTTTTCTTTATAAGAATTAGAAAAACTGTAATATGCCGTACTTATTCTTTTTAGGTCAGCCTTTTTCTATCTTAATAACAATTATGGTATTTTTTTTTTCTGGAATTTTTACCTAATGATATTTCTTTTTCCATTTCGCACATCACTTTATTTACAAGGAAAAAGTTGTGTCATGTGTCATCTCTTTTGTCTGATCTATATCAGGATATAATCTGCAATATTGAGTTTTGAGGTGTTCCTTTTAATTCCATTGATGTTCTTGAATTTCTAGCTTCTCTTTATTTATCTCTTCTTATTTACTTATACAAGACTTATACTCAAAAACGAGGTTGATGAGTACTCCTTG